ACAACAACAACAACAACAACAACAACAACAACAACAACAACAACAACAACAACAACAACAACAACAACAACAACAACAACAACAACAACAACAACAACAACAACAACAACAACAACAACAACAACAACAACAACAACAACAACAACAACAACAACAACAACAACAACAACAACAACAACAACAACAACAACAACAACAACAACAATAACAACAACATCAGCAACAACGACAACAACAACAGCAAAAACATCAACAACTACAACAACAACCACAACCAAAACAACAACAACAGCAACACCACCGTGAGAATATAGACTTCAAAATTCAAACAACAACAACAACAACAACAACAACAACAACAACAACAACAACAACAACAACAACAACAACAACAATAACAACAACAGCAACAACAACAACAACAACAACAGCAAAAAAATCAACAACTACGACAACAACAACAACAACCAAAACAACAACAACAGCAACACCACCGTGAGAATATAGACTTCAAAATTCAAAAACAACAACAACAACAACAACAACAATAACAACAACAGCAACAACAACAACAACAACAGCAAAAACATCAACAACTACAACAACAACAACAACCAAAACAACAACAACAACAACAACAACAACAACAACAACAACAACAACAACAACAACAACAACAACAACAACAACAACAACAACAACAACAACAACAACAACAACAACAACAACAACAACAACAACAACAACAACAACAACAACAACAACAACAACAACAACAACAACAACAACAACAACAACAACAACAACAACAACAACAACAACAACAACAACAACAACAACAACAACAACAACAACAACAACAACAACAACAACAACAACAACAACAATAACAACAACATCAGCAACAACGACAACAACAACAGCAAAAACATCAACAACTACAACAACAACCACAACCAAAACAACAACAACAGCAACACCACCGTGAGAATATAGACTTCAAAATTCAAAAACAACAACAACAACAACAACAACAACAACAACAACAACAACAACAACAACAACAACAACAACAACAATAACAACAACAGCAACAACAACAACAACAACAACAGCAAAAAAATCAACAACTACGACAACAACAACAACAACCAAAACAACAACAACAGCAACACCACCGTGAGAATATAGACTTCAAAATTCAAAAACAACAACAACAACAACAACAACAACAACAACAACAACAACAACAACAACAACAACAACAACAACAACAACAACAACAACAACAACAACAACAACAACAACAACACCAACACCAACAACAACAACACCAACAACAACAACAACAACAACAACAACAACAGCAACAACAACAACAACAACAGCAAAAACATCAACAACTATAACAACAACAACAACCAAAACAACAACAACAGCAACACCACCGTGAGAATAGTTGTATTTCTCGCCGGCCGAGCGCAGCGAGATAGGCGAGAAATGATTTCTCGCGAAATATTTTCAGTTGCAAATATGGCATCTGGTGTGTTCTTTGTTGTCGCTTCTTTTCCTGACTTCTTCAGTCAGTTTTGAGTCTCACCAGTGTGGACCGGTTTTTTCCATCTCCGTAGGATTTTCCTTGAACGAACTTCTTTGTCAGGATCCCTCGACCATAATGCTTCTTTCTCAGCGCCTTTGACATCCCCTCCGATCACATCGTCGTCGGCTACCCCCGCGTCCCCCGAATCGCCGTCTTCGCCATCCAACTGACCAACATCCGAGGCGTACAGGTCCCCTGCGTAACGGAATCTGACACGACCCGTGGAAAGCCAGCAGTTGAAACCGCAACACCCACAGGACAAGATCCAGGAGCTGAGGACATTGTCTGGAACGGGCCTCAACCCCAAACTCCAGCAAACAAAACCCTCGCTCATACTCGTAGCCAAAAATGCTGCGAACAACAGTGTGAACAAAAAATCGAACTGTTCGCAACCAAGGACGGCGCCAAGCCCCATGTCCGTGCAAGACACCAGCAAGGCGCTATGTCATCCATCGACCATCGCGCGAGCCTGAGATACACATGAAACAAACTTCTGAGAATTGCGGAGGAAAAGTTTGGAATGTTGTGGTGATGATTTGATGCTGATGATTACGCTGCACGCAAAACAGGCAGGACGAAGAAACCATGATGCCATCTCCAGCAAAATCAATGACCACTGCAGTACCTACAGTAGCCTACAGCCGCAGCTGCCACTGGGCAATCAGCCATCGCCAGCCGCGAGATCACGAGGCCAGATGACGGATCGTGGCTGCCGCCAGTGACTATCCAGATAAGTTGAATTTATTGTATGCTTTTTCTCATAGGTTTAACAGATTGGTGCCATAGTGTACTCCAGTCACCTCCGTTCGGGCTTTGTTGCGGTCGTGAATGAAATTACTTGTTTCTGTACTCCAAGCATCCTATTATAATGGAGATTGTCTCTCCCTTTCTCTTCCTCCGGCACGCACCAAATCATTCGGTAACGAGAGTAGCGCCGCCAACCATGCCGGATTTGTATATGGTGGTATAAAGTGCTTTCTTACGTGTAGGTGGTCAGGCGTAGTTGTACAATCGAATAAGCTCCAGATTATAGTAATCATTCGATTGCTTTACACCCCTACAGGCAATGTTTGCAATTCCAGTACTTTATGCGGGGTAGGGTACTACACTAGTTCCGCTTCCAGTATATCCATTGTACAGCGTCGGTGCATTATGTGTGCGTCAGTGGATGAATCTACAAATTCGCCTATGCGAAGCTAACTTTAGTAAATGCGCGTATGGCACACTGTGTGCTGGTGGCATAACTGTGTTTCGGAATGAGTGTGCTGCGCAAACTGTGCGGGCGGACAAGTCCTGCTGTATCTGTCTTACTGAACGCATTGTGCATTGTGCTATGTTAGATCGGTCCTGCCTGATGAGTGCATCGTGCACTGAGTGTCGGCTATGATTCCTGGTGTAACTGTCCTAATTGACAAGCACATTATGCGCTGTGTGGTAAAACTGTGTTTCTGGATGAGTGTACTTCGCATAGCGTGTTGGTGGACATGTCCTGGTGTAACTGTCTTACTGGATGAACGCATCGTGCGATGTGCTATCCCAGACCTGTCTTACGTGATGAGTACATTGTGCGCTGAGTGTCAGTGTTGATTCCTGGTGTAACTGTCTGAATTGACGAGCACATTATGCGCTGTGCAATGTCATATGAGTCCCGATAGAGCTGTCTCACCGAAGGAGTGCATCGGGAGCTGTGCGATGTCCAACGGATCCCGGTATGTCTGACTGGAAGAGTGCATTGTGCTCTGCGAGGTGACGGTGGATGCCCAGTATAACTGTCTTACTGGAAGAGTGCATTGTGCACTGCGAGATGATGGAGGATTCCCAGTATAACTGTCTTACTGGAAGAGTGCATTGTGCGCTGCGAGATGACGGAGGATTCCCAGTATAACTGTCTTACTGGAAGAGTGCATTGTGCACTGCGAGATGATGGAGGATTCCCAGTATAACTGTCTTACTGGAAGAGTGCATTGTGCGCTGCGAGATGACGGAGGATCCCCAGTATAACTGTCTTACTGGAAGAGTGCATTGTGCACTGCGAGATGACGGTGGAGGCCCGGTATAACTGTCTTACCGGAAGAGTGCATTGTGCACTGTCCAATGCCAGCCGAACCCCTCTAGATCTGTCGCCCTGGATGAGTGTGTTCTACACTGTGCGACGCCAGATGAGTGCCCATATAACTGTCTCACTGGATGAGCGCCTTATGCACCGTACAACGTAAGGCACTTACAGCCCGGCAGTGTCCGCCACCTCCCAATATCAATGTCTTACTAGTTGACGTATTGTGCAATGTACGATGTCAGTTGTGTCTCTGTACGATTGTGTCAAAGAATGAGTGCATTACGCCACGTACAATGTTGGGTTGAGTCCCAGTAGAATGGTCTTACCGGATGTACGTATTGTTTACCGAAAGTTATAATGTCGATTTCCAGTATCATTGTGTCTCATTGGAGGAGTGCTTGCATACTGCGTGGGGTCAGTTGTGTCCTAGTCAAAATGTCTTACTGGAGGAGTTCATTCCAGTCTTATTCGCTCATCAGATTGTGTACTATACAATGTCAGACGGGTCCCCGCATAACAGTCTCTATGGGTGCATTGGGTACTGTGTAATGTCCGCCACCTCCCAATATCAATGGCTTACTACATGTAGTTGACGTATTGTGCAATGTGCGATGTCAGTTGAGTCTGTATGATCGTCTCGATGAATGAATGCGTTCGCCACGTACCATGTTGGACGGGTCCCAGTAGAATGATCTTACCGGCTATACGTTTCGGTCACCGAGAGTTAAATATTGAGTTCCAGTTTCATTATCTGTCCTATTAGAGGAATGCCTTGCATACTGTGTGGTATCAGCTGTATCCCAGTAAAAATGTCTTACTGGAGGAGTTCATTCTCTACTGTGCGAAGTCAAAATAGGCCCACTGTACCAGTCCGATTGGACAGGTGTTGCATGCACTTTGCAAATTCGGATCAGGCCTAACTTACTGGATTCTTGCATAGGCTCTGTGTGTTCTGTGTGAGGCCTGGCGGCACTGTGTGAATATTCCTGGATTAATTCCAACAATTTTATGCTGTGCATTTTAATCATGCCGGCCCTATCGGGTTTCACTTGTCCCGAGTCTGTTCGTGGTACAACCCTGTACATGATTCTTGCTTCCAGATGACTTACTCTGCTGTTCTGTGTGCTTTTCCTGCTTGTTCTTTCTCCTTTCTCTTCTCTACTCCCTGCTTTAGAGTACTTCAGGGGTTGGCTATGGGAGGATTGATCCTGTGCAGCCCAAACTGAACCGATATATCTGCTATCTGTGATCTTTATAGTCGCCACCTGCTGTTCAGTCAGGGTTGAGAATCAGATGCCTTGTTCATGTGCACTGCGTGGACGTATCACTATCAAGTCCTGGCTGGCCAGTTCCTGACACCTGAACTACTATAGACACCCTACATGCTCTCACACTCAGTTTGGTGGGTGGTTCCTCAGCACTGAACTGGGACGTACTGCACCAGATCAGGGTGCTAGGTCCTTGGACTTTGAGAAACTTTGTGTAGGTCATAGCCTACTCGTTTTGTCCCGTACTCTCTTTCTGTCAGTCTTCCTGTCTTGTTTGCATCTCTCTGCCTTCTTTCTCGTTTTCGCTGCGCTATGCTTTTTCTGAGTCACATCTGGCTGCGGCCAACTACCCTTCACTTTGTGTGTTGTCGCTATTGCTGTCTATGTCTCTGTGTATGCCAGTATATGTGGAGCGAGAAGTTGTATTTCTCGCCGGCCGAGCGCAGCGAGATAGGCGAGAAATGATTTCTCGCGAAATATTTTCAGTTGCAAATATGGCATCTGGTGTGTTCTTTGTTGTCGCTTCTTTTCCTGACTTCTTCAGTCAGTTTTGAGTCTCACCAGTGTCCCTGCCCTCCCACCCTTTATTTCTGTGCATATTATCAATGCTTTTTATCACTGTTTGCCGTGATGTGCTTGCCAGGCCTACATGATGCCTAATCGCCATTGGGGATATACACCCGGTTTTTTTTCCCTCACAAATGCGTCCGTCGGCGCGAGGGTTTTTTTTTCCCGGCTGGCTCGGTCCAGGAAAATTAATCTGACGGTCCCAAGTGGTTCTGCATCATGGCCTATTTCTGCTATCCACTGGCACGACTATTCTATCTGAGACACTCTGTTCTCAGTCCTTGCTTGCTTCCATACCTCACTCGTTATCCGGTTCACATCTGGCTGCGGCCAACTACCCTTCACTTTGTGTGTTGTCGCTATTGCTGTCTATGTCTCTGTGTATGCCAGTATATGTGGAGCGAGAATAGACTTCAAAATTCAAAAACAACAACAACAACAACAACAACAACAACAACAACAACAACAACAACAACAGCAACAACAACAACAACAACAACAGCAAAAACATCAACAACAACAACAACAACAACAACAACAACAACAACAACAACAACAACAACAACAACAACAACAACAACAACAACAACAACAACAACAACAACAACAACAACAACAACAACAACAACAACAACAACAACAACAACAACAACAACAACAACAACAACAACAACAACAACAACAACAACAACAACAACAACAACAACAACAACAACAACAACAACAACAACAACAACAACAACAACAACAACAACAACAACAACAACAACAACAACAACAACAACAACAACAACAACAACAACAACAACAACAACAACAACAACAACAACAACAACAACAACAACAACAACAACAACAACAACAACAACAACAACAACAACAACAACAACAACAACAACAACAACAACAACAACAACAACAACAACAACAACAACAACAACAACAACAACAACAACAACAACAACAACAACAACAACAACAACAACAACAACAACAACAACAACAACAACAACAACAACAACAACAACAACAACAACAACAACAACAACAACAACAACAACAACAACAACAACAACAACAACAACAACAACAACAACAACAACAACAACAACAACAACAACAACAACAACAACAACAATAACAACAACATCAGCAACAACGACAACAACAACAGCAAAAACATCAACAACTACAACAACAACCACAACCAAAACAACAACAACAGCAACACCACCGTGAGAATATAGACTTCAAAATTCAAAAACAACAACAACAACAACAACAACAACAACAACAACAACAACAACAACAACAACAACAACAACAACAACAATAACAACAACAGCAACAACAACAACAACAACAACAGCAAAAAAATCAACAACTACGACAACAACAACAACAACCAAAACAACAACAACAGCAACACCACCGTGAGAATATAGACTTCAAAATTCAAAAACAACAACAACAACAACAACAACAATAACAACAACAGCAACAACAACAACAACAACAGCAAAAACATCAACAACTACAACAACAACAACAACCAAAACAACAACAACAGCAACACCACCGTGAGAATCAAGACTTCAAAATTCAAAAACAACAACAACAACAACAACAACAACAACAACAACAACAACAACAACAACAACAACAACAACAACAACAATAACAACAACAGCAACAACAACAACAACAGCAAAAACATCAACAACTTCAAAAACAACAACAACCAAAACAACAACAACAGCAACACCACCGTGAGAATATAGACTTCAAAATTCAAAAACAACAACAACAACAACAACAACAACAACAACAACAATAACAACAACAGCGACAACAACAACAACAACAGCAAAAACATCAACAACTACAACAACAACAACAACCAAAACAACAACAACAGCAACACAACCGTGAGAATATAGACTTCAAAATTCAAAAACAACAACAACAACAACAACAACAACAACAACAACAACAACAACAACAACAACAACAACAACAACAATAACAACAACAGCAACAACAACAACAACAACAACAGCAAAAACATCAACAACTACAACAACAACAACAACAAAAACCACAACAACAGCAACACCACCGTGAGAATATAGACTTCAAAATTCAAAAACAACAACAACTACAACAACAACAACAACAACAACAACAACAACAATAACAACAACAGCAACAACAACAACAACAACAACAGCAAAAACATCAACAACTACAACAACAACAACAACCAAAACCACAACAACAGCAACAACACCGTGAGAAGATAGACTTCAAAATTCAAAAACAACAACAACAGCAACAACAACAACGACAACAACAATAAAAACAACAGCAACAACAACAACAACAACAGCAAAAACATCAACAACTACAACAACAACAACAGCCAAAACAACAACAACAGCAACACAACCGTGAGAATATAGACTTCAAAATTCAAAAACAACAACAACAACAACAACAACAACAACAACAACAACAACAACAACAACAACAACAACAACAACAACAACAACAACAACAACAACAACAACAACAACAACAACAACAACAACAACAACAACAACAACAACAACAACAACAACAACAACAACAACAACAACAACAACAACAACAACAACAACAACAACAACAACAACAACAACAACAACAACAACAACAACAACAACAACAACAACAACAACAACAACAACAACAACAACAACAACAACAACAACAACAACAACTACAACAACAACAACAACAACAACAACAACAACAACAACAACAACAACAACAACAACAACAACAACAACAACAACAACAACAACAACAACAACAACAACAACAACAACAACAACAACAACAACAACAACAACAACAACAACAACAACAACAACAACAACAACAACAACAACAACAACAACAACAACAACAACAACAACAACAACAACAACAACAACAACAACAACAACAACAACAACAACAACAACAACAACAACAACAACAACAACAACAACAACAACAACAACAACAACAACAACAACAACAACAACAACAACAACAACAACAACAACAACAACAACAACAACAACAACACCAACACCAACAACAACAACACCAACAACAACAACAACAACAACAACAACAACAGCAACAACAACAACAACAACAGCAAAAACATCAACAACTATAACAACAACAACAACCAAAACAACAACAACAGCAACACCACCGTGAGAATATAGACTTCAAAATTCAAAAACAACAACAACAACAACAACAACAACAACAACAACAACAACAACAACAGCAACAACAACAACAACAACAACAGCAAAAACATCAACAACAACAACAACAACAACAACAACAACAACAACAACAACAACAACAACAACAACAACAACAACAACAACAACAACAACAACAACAACAACAACAACAACAACAACAACAACAACAACAACAACAACAACAACAACAACAACAACAACAACAACAACAACAACAACAACAACAACAACAACAACAACAACAACAACAACAACAACAACAACAACAACAACAACAACAACAACAACAACAACAACAACAACAACAACAACAACAACAACAACAACAACAACAACAACAACAACAACAACAACAACAACAACAACAACAACAACAACAACAACAACAACAACAACAACAACAACAACAACAACAACAACAACAACAACAACAACAACAACAACAACAACAACAACAACAACAACAACAACAACAACAACAACAACAACAACAACAACAACAACAACAACAACAACAACAACAACAACAACAACAACAACAACAACAACAACAACAACAACAACAACAACAACAACAACAACAACAACAACAACAACAACAACAACAACAACAACAACAACAACAACAACAACAACAACAACAACAACAACAACAACAACAACAACAACAACAACAACAACAACAACAACAACAACAACAACAACAACAACAACAACAACAACAACAACAACAACAACAACAACAACAACAACAACAACAACAACAACAACAACAACAACAACAACAACAACAACAACAACAACAACAACAACAACAACAACAACAACAACAACAACAACAACAACAACAACAACAATAACAACAACATCAGCAACAACGACAACAACAACAGCAAAAACATCAACAACTACAACAACAACCACAACCAAAACAACAACAACAGCAACACCACCGTGAGAATATAGACTTCAAAATTCAAAAACAACAACAACAACAACAACAACAACAACAACAACAACAACAACAACAACAACAACAACAATAACAACAACAGCAACAACAACAACAACAACAACAGCAAAAAAATCAACAACTACGACAACAACAACAACAACCAAAACAACAACAACAGCAACACCACCGTGAGAATATAGACTTCAAAATTCAAAAACAACAACAACAACAACAACAACAATAACAACAACAGCAACAACAACAACAACAACAGCAAAAACATCAACAACTACAACAACAACAACAACCAAAACAACAACAACAGCAACACCACCGTGAGAATCAAGACTTCAAAATTCAAAAACAACAACAACAACAACAACAACAACAACAACAACAACAACAACAACAACAACAACAACAACAACAACAATAACAACAACAGCAACAACAACAACAACAGCAAAAACATCAACAACTTCAAAAACAACAACAACCAAAACAACAACAACAGCAACACCACCGTGAGAATATAGACTTCAAAATTCAAAAACAACAACAACAACAACAACAACAACAACAACAACAACAATAACAACAACAGCGACAACAACAACAACAACAGCAAAAACATCAACAACTACAACAACAACAACAACCAAAACAACAACAACAGCAACACAACCGTGAGAATATAGACTTCAAAATTCAAAAACAACAACAACAACAACAACAACAACAACAACAACAACAACAACAACAACAACAACAACAACAACAATAACAACAACAGCAACAACAACAACAACAACAACAGCAAAAACATCAACAACTACAACAACAACAACAACAAAAACCACAACAACAGCAACACCACCGTGAGAATATAGACTTCAAAATTCAAAAACAACAACAACTACAACAACAACAACAACAACAACAACAACAACAACAATAACAACAACAGCAACAACAACAACAACAACAACAGCAAAAACATCAACAACTACAACAACAACAACAACCAAAACCACAACAACAGCAACAACACCGTGAGAAGATAGACTTCAAAATTCAAAAACAACAACAACAGCAACAACAACAACGACAACAACAATAAAAACAACAGCAACAACAACAACAACAACAGCAAAAACATCAACAACTACAACAACAACAACAGCCAAAACAACAACAACAGCAACACAACCGTGAGAATATAGACTTCAAAATTCAAAAACAACAACAACAACAACAACAACAACAACAACAACAACAACAACAACAACAACAACAACAACAACAACAACAACAACAACAACAACAACAACAACAACAACAACAACAACAACAACAACAACAACAACAACAACAACAACAACAACAACAACAACAACAACAACAACAACAACAACAACAACAACAACAACAACAACAACAACAACAACAACAACAACAACAACAACAACAACAACAACAACAACAACAACAACAACAACAACAACAACAACAACAACAACAACAACAACAACAACAACAACAACAACAACAACAACAACAACAACAACAACAACAACAACAACAACAACAACAACAACAACAACAACAACAACAACAACAACAACAACAACAACAACAACAACAACAACAACAACAACAACAACAACAACAACAACAACAACAACAACAACAACAACAACAACAACAACAACAACAACAACAACAACAACAACAACAACAACAACAACAACAACAACAACAACAACAACAACAACAACAACAACAACAACAACAACAACAACAACAACAACAACAACAACAACAACAACAACAACAACAACAACAACAACAACAACAACAACAACAACAACAACAACAACAACAACACCAACACCAACAACAACAACACCAACAACAACAACAACAACAACAACAACAACAGCAACAACAACAACAACAACAGCAAAAACATCAACAACTATAACAACAACAACAACCAAAACAACAACAACAGCAACACCACCGTGAGAATATAGACTTCAAAATTCAAAAACAACAACAACAACAACAACAACAACAACAACAACAACAACAACAACAGCAACAACAACAACAACAACAACAGCAAAAACATCAACAACAACAACAACAACAACAACAACAACAACAACAACAACAACAACAACAACAACAACAACAACAACAACAACAACAACAACAACAACAACAACAACAACAACAACAACAACAACAACAACAACAACAACAACAACAACAACAACAACAACAACAACAACAACAACAACAACAACAACAACAACAACAACAACAACAACAACAACAACAACAACAACAACAACAACAACAACAACAACAACAACAACAACAACAACAACAACAACAACAACAACAACAACAACAACAACAACAACAACAACAACAACAACAACAACAACAACAACAACAACAACAACAACAACAACAACAACAACAACAACAACAACAACAACAACAACAACAACAACAACAACAACAACAACAACAACAACAACAACAACAACAACAACAACAACAACAACAACAACAACAACAACAACAACAACAACAACAACAACAACAACAACAACAACAACAACAACAACAACAACAACAACAACAACAACAACAACAACAACAACAACAACAACAACAACAACAACAACAACAACAACAACAACAACAACAACAACAACAACAACAACAACAACAACAACAACAACAACAACAACAACAACAACAACAACAACAACAACAACAACAACAACAACAACAACAACAACAACAACAACAACAACAACAACAACAACAACAACAACAACAACAACAACAACAACAACAACAACAACAACAACAATAACAACAACATCAGCAACAACGACAACAACAACAGCAAAAACATCAACAACTACAACAACAACCACAACCAAAACAACAACAACAGCAACACCACCGTGAGAATATAGACTTCAAAATTCAAAAACAACAACAACAACAACAACAACAACAACAACAACAACAACAACAACAACAACAACAACAACAACAACAACAACAATAACAACAACAGCAACAACAACAACAACAACAACAGCAAAAAAATCAACAACTACGACAACAACAACAACAACCAAAACAACAACAACAGCAACACCACCGTGAGAATATAGACTTCAAAATTCAAAAACAACAACAACAACAACAACAACAATAACAACAACAGCAACAACAACAACAACAACAGCAAAAACATCAACAACTACAACAACAACAACAACCAAAACAACAACAACAGCAACACCACCGTGAGAATCAAGACTTCAAAATTCAAAAACAACAACAACAACAACAACAACAACAACAACAACAACAACAACAACAACAACAACAACAACAACAACAACAACAATAACAACAACAGCAACAACAACAACAACAGCAAAAACATCAACAACTTCAAAAACAACAACAACCAAAACAACAACAACAGCAACACCACCGTGAGAATATAGACTTCAAAATTCAAAAACAACAACAACAACAACAACAACAACAACAACAACAACAATAACAACAACAGCGACAACAACAACAACAACAGCAAAAACATCAACAACTACAACAACAACAACAACCAAAACAACAACAACAGCAACACAACCGTGAGAATATAGACTTCAAAATTCAAAAACAACAACAACAACAACAACAACAACAACAACAACAACAACAACAACAACAACAACAACAATAACAACAACAGCAACAACAACAACAACAACAACAGCAAAAACATCAACAACTACAACAACAACAACAACAAAAACCACAACAACAGCAACACCACCGTGAGAATATAGACTTCAAAATTCAAAAACAACAACAACTACAACAACAACAACAACAACAACAACAACAACAACAACAACAACAACAGCAACAACAACAACAACAACAACAGCAAAAACATCAACAACTACAACAACAACAACAACCAAAACCACAACAACAGCAACAACACCGTGAGAAGATAGACTTCAAAATTCAAAAACAACAACAACAGCAACAACAACAACGACAACAACAATAAAAACAACAGCAACAACAACAACAACAACAGCAAAAACATCAACAACTACAACAACAACAACAGCCAAAACAACAACAACAGCAACACAACCGTGAGAATATAGACTTCAAAATTCAAAAACAACAACAACAACAACAACAACAACAACAACAACAACAACAACAACAACAACAACAACAACAACAACAACAACAACAACAACAACAACAACAACAACAACAACAACAACAACAACAACAACAACAACAACAACAACAACAACAACAACAACAACAACAACAACAACAACAACAACAACAACAACAACAACAACAACAACAACAACAACAACAACAACAACAACAACAACAACAACAACAACAACAACAACAACAACAACAACAACAACAACAACAACAACAACAACAACAACAACAACAACAACAACAACAACAACAACAACAACAACAACAACAACAACAACAACAACAACAACAACAACAACAACAACAACAACAACAACAACAACAACAACAACAACAACAACAACAACAACAACAACAACAACAACAACAACAACAACAACAACAACAACAACAACAACAACAACAACAACAACAACAACAACAACAACAACAACAACAACAACAACAACAACAACAACAACAACAACAACAACAACAACAACAACAACAACAACAACAACAACAACAACAACAACAACAACAACAACAACAACAACAACAACAACAACAACAACAACAACAACAACAACAACAACAACAACAACAACAACAACAACAACAACAACAACAACAACAACAACAACAACAACAACAACAACAACAACAACAACAACAACAACAACAACAACAACAACAACAACAACAACAACAACAACAACAACAACAACAACAACAACAACAACAACAACAACAACAACAACAACAACAACAACAACAACAACAACAACAACAACAACAACAACAACAACAACAACAACAACAACAACAACAACAACAACAACAACAACAACAACAACAACAACAACAACAACAACAACAACAACAACAACAACAACAACAACAACAACAACAACAACAACAACAACAACAACAACAACAACAACAACAACAACAACAACAACAACAACAACAACAACAACAACAACAACAACAACAACAACAACAACAACAACAACAACAACAACAACAACAACAACAACAACAACAACAACAACAACAACAACAACAACAACAACAACAACAACAACAACAACAACAACAACAACAACAACAACACCAACACCAACAACAACAACACCAACAACAACAACAACAACAACAACAACAACAACAACAGCAACAACAACAACAACAACAGCAAAAACATCAACAACTATAACAACAACAACAACCAAAACAACAACAACAGCAACACCACCGTGAGAATATAGACTTCAAAATTCAAAAACAACAACAACAACAACAACAACAACAACAACAACAACAATAACAACAACAGCAACAACAACAACAACAACAACAACAACAACAACAACAACAACAACAACAACAACAACAACAACAACAACAACAACAACAACAACAACAACAACAACAACAACAACAACAACAACAACAACAACAACAACAACAACAACAACAACAACAACAACAACAACAACAACAACAACAACAACAACAACAACAACAACACCAACAACAACAACAACAACAACAACAACAACAACAGCAACAACAACAACAACAACAGCAAAAACATCAACAACTATAACAACAACAACAACCAAAACAACAACAACAGCAACACCACCGTGAGAATATAGACTTCAAAATTCAAAAACAACAACAACAACAACAACAACAACAACAACAACAATAACAACAACAGCAACAACAACAACAACAACAACAACAACAACAACAACAACAACAACAACAACAACAACAACAACAACAACAACAACAACAACAACAACAACAACAACAACAACAACAACAACAACAACAACAACAACAACAACAACAACAACAACAACAACAACAACAACAACAACAACAACAACAACAACAACAACAACAACAACAACAACAACAACAACAACAACAACAACAACAACAACAACAACAACAACAACAACAACAACAACAACAACAACAACAACAACAACAACAACAACAACAACAACAACAACAACAACAACAACAACAACAACAACAACAACAACAACAACAACAACAACAACAACAACAACAACAACAACAACAACAACAACAACAACAACAACAACAACAACAACAACAACAACAACAACAACAACAACAACAACAACAACAACAACAACAACAACAACAACAACAACAACAACAACAACAACAACAACAACAACAACAACAACAACAACAACAACAACAACAACAACAACAACAACAACAACAACAACAACAACAACAACAACAACAACAACAACAACAACAACAACAACAACAACAACAACAACAACAACAACAACAACAACAACAACAACAACAACAACAACAACAACAACAACAACAACAACAACAACAACAACAACAACAACAACAACAACAACAACAACAACAACAACAACAACAACAACAACAACAACAACAACAACAACAACAACAACAACAACAACAACAACAACAACAACAACAACAACAACAACAACAACAACAACAACAACAACAACAACAACAACAACAACAACAACAACAACAACAACAACAACAACAACAACAACAACAACAACAACAACAACAACAACAACAACAACAACAACAACAACAACAACAACAACAACAACAACAACAACAACAACAACAACAACAACAACAACAACAACAACAACAACAACAACAACAACAACAACAACAACAACAACAACAACAACAACAACAACAACAACAACAACAACAACAACAACAACAACAACAACAACAACAACAACAATAACAACAACATCAGCAACAACGACAACAACAACAGCAAAAACATCAACAACTACAACAACAACCACAACCAAAACAACAACAACAGCAACACCACCGTGAGAATATAGACTTCAAAATTCAAAAACAACAACAACAACAACAACAACAACAACAACAACAACAACAACAACAACAACAACAACAACAACAACAATAACAACAACAGCAACAACAACAACAACAACAACAGCAAAAAAATCAACAACTACGACAACAACAACAACAACCAAAACAACAACAACAGCAACACCACCGTGAGAATATAGACTTCAAAATTCAAAAACAACAACAACAACAACAACAACAATAACAACAACAGCAACAACAACAACAACAACAGCAAAAACATCAACAACTACAACAACAACAACAACCAAAACAACAACAACAGCAACACCACCGTGAGAATCAAGACTTCAAAATTCAAAAACAACAACAACAACAACAACAACAACAACAACAACAACAACAACAACAACAACAACAACAATAACAACAACAGCAACAACAACAACAACAGCAAAAACATCAACAACTTCAAAAACAACAACAACCAAAACAACAACAACAGCAACACCACCGTGAGAATATAGACTTCAA